TATGTATAAACGAATCTGGAACTATTGGTTCTAAATCTTGTGTATATTACTATAAATTTATTTGAAGAAAAATTTTCATCTACGTATATGGCGCTGCGCTATTCTATCTACTGGCTACAGGAGTAACTGTGGTAGTACTTTTGGCTTTCTTTTGACCCTCATTTTTCGAAAGAGCCCTTTTTCGTTTTGCCACTTTTGTTGGCCTTTGCTCACCTTCAATGTATACTTCGCTCAGCAAGTCGTACAACTTAACATTCTTTATTTGAATCAAATGCTTACTGATGTCAAAATCCTGCCAACCTTTACAGATGTTGTAGAACTCCGAGCATGGATGCTGTATATCTAATTTCTTTCCACCGTCCTTCTGCAAATCCAACTTCAACCCAATAAAGAGTTTTGTAAGATGTAACTCAGTCTCGCCTTCTACTTGTGTGTGACCTTGGATAGCATCAGTGCTAGGTATTGACCTTGTAAGTTCATCACCACTCAATGTGCCATCAGCACTTAAGACTAATTCTGCTTCTTTTTCGTTTCTGCAGTAGAATCCTTTCTCAAACTCCTTAACGTATGGGTGCGCCAATTCAATACCTTCAACTATTTCCAATTTCTGGACCAACAACCTCAATTTACTTTCGACCATCCCTGCGTATTTGACATGCTCGTCGTGGGTAGATTTGGTAGCGGCAACAATGCATAGGTAGAATTTGTACGTATGGAAGAAAGTGTGTCTCTCAAGTAAGTCCGACCACTGTTTTCTTCCAACCGAAATATCGTTCATGATTTCAATTCCTCGTTTAAATTCACTAAGAATCACCTTTTGTGTTGACGCGGTGATATTATGCGTCGCACACATTGAGGGATAAGCAGGGGTAATGACTGGCATTCGATGCAGTCTATCAAGGGCATAAAGTCTTGGATTCCAAACACGTACTTGTAGAGGGCCATCTTCAATATGTTTCAACAATACTGGTTGCGGCCAACTCCATTGCGAATAAATATGAAAAAATTTCTCCACAATAACAGCACTGACCGCATTCGGATAGAGTTGACATATTCTGGCAACTAGCATAGCCCAGGCTACACCACCAGGAAATCCATAAACATTTCCGTATATTGCTCGTTGCTGTGCCCACATTTTTATGCATCTCAAAGCATGTTTGAATACAGTCGGCTTCGGTACCAAAGTCAATATTTCATCAGTAACACGAGTTCCATTCAATGCTCTAAGGTCTTTTTCATCTATATTTCTTAACAAATTCTTGTCATCTAAACTTAGGTCTATGGGAACCCTCGGAATATCTAGTCTTGCGAAAATCAAATCAATCGAAATTCCATTGAATTCAATCTTTATGATAGGAACAAATGCATCCGGTACCGGTGCTATTTCTTCTAGCTCTTTTCTTTTTTGAAGAAGTTCATAGAACACTTCGAAGAAATCGTTCCTGTTCACATGCTTGGGTACAACAACCAAAGTATCAATATCAGAACCCGGCCCATAAACTCCCAATCTATAAGACCCAAATGTAAATATCTTTCCACCAGCATCTTTTGCCATTCCTTCAGACATATTCTTATTAAGAGACACCCTATAGACAAATTCTTCAGTCATCTTTTGAAGAATATTCAAAACCTCTACTCGCTTTTTGGTTGCAGCCTCACTTTCAAATGAGCCCCGGACTTTTAATTCCTTTATTAAAAGATCGTTCAATTCATTCTCTCTTGGAGTTGGATTAGCGACTGATATTGGAGGTGTCACTCCATATGTTTGTACATTCATATTTGGCTTTGTTGGTGTCAACGTGAAGAGTTAACCAAATTCCGAATTTTTTTTTTGTAGTCAAGGAGCGGATTACCCGGCTTTACAATGAATTTTCTGTTTTTTTTGATCAGATCGCCACGCTTTCAGGGATTCATATAAATTTACACATTTTATTACACAAAATAGCCAAATCAACTTTACCCTGAGATTGCCCACAAAATATTGCTTGGAAATTGCCCCATTAAGAAGCAAAATAAACTATAAATTTGATTAACTGGTGCAATGGTTATGGGATTAACTTCAAAATTAGAAAAGCTTGTATTGAAGGATAGCAATGCTGAACCCCCTGGTAGCTCCCAATCCACTAGAAGCGCCAAGGACACGGATGACATTGATGAATTAGATACCGAAGGACAATCGATTCTCATGGGTATAATTGCCCAATTAAGGCCAGGGATGGATTTGACCAGGATTACTCTCCCAACATTTATTCTAGAGAAGAAGTCGATGTTAGAGAGAATCACTAATTTCTTCCAAATCCCCGATATCTTATTAAAAGCAGACAAGACGGAAGATGATTTGGAAAGGTTTGTTCTCGTTGTTGCATGGTATTTAGCTAGTTGGCACATTGCGCCAAAAGCGGTGAAGAAGCCTCTCAACCCTGTCCTAGGTGAAATATTCAATTGCTACTGGGATGACCTACCTGATGGAAATACTGCCTATTACATCTCCGAGCAAACTTCGCATCATCCACCCAAGTCATCTTACTTTTACTTAATGCCAGAGCTGAAAATTAGAGTTGACGGCGTTCTCATTCCAAAATCTCGATTTTTAGGCAACTCATCAGCAGCTATTATGGAAGGGGTTGGAAGACTCACTTTGGGTCATCACAATGAAGTGTATGAAATGACCCAGCCTAATGTATATTGCAGAGGAATTCTTTTTGGAAAATTGAAAACTGAATTAGGTGATCACATGTATGTAAAATGTGAGAAAACAGGATTCGAAGCAGATGTAGATTTTAAGGTAAAAGGCTTCATTAGTGGTACATATGATGCCATCGAAGGGGTAATCAGAGACAGCAAGACTTCCGAAGATCTATACATTATATCAGGTAAATGGAATGGTGTCATGGAAATAAAGGATGTTCGAACTGGATCGAAACGAGTTTTAGTTGACTGCGCTGACACTGTGGCACTAAAACCCAAAGCTCGCCCAATTTCTGAACAGGAACCACACGAGTCTCGTAAATTATGGAAGTCTACCATTGATGCTTTGGCAGAAAGGGACCATCAAACAGCTACTCAAGAAAAATCAATTGTTGAGAACGAGCAACGTGAATTGGCAAAGAAGAGAATCGAGGATGGTGTCGAATTTCACCCAAAGTTATTCCGGCCAGTTAGTGAGAAAGAAATTGAAATCCAAGACTTGCAATATATTATCTACAAAAAATTCAATTTGGAAGATGAACCGCAAGTTTTGAGAGAGAAGGTATTGGAAATTGCTCCCATATTGCCTGGCCAGAACTTCGATGAAAAGTTTGAAATTCCTGCATTCAAAAAGCATGAGCAAGACTAGCCATTTCCAGCTCATTTATCTTACAGTATTATTATAAGGGTTCAGTTATAAAGTTGATTTTTTTTGTATTAAGACAACGTTTTTGTAGAGTTAATATTTTTTTACATAATAGGTGTTTGTTGAACTACGTATAAGCCACTTTATTGGATGTTTCTAAACAGCTGGTTCTTTCTTTTGCTCACATTTGAAAACTAGTCTGTTTCTTAAACCAAGAGTAAGTACATTCTATTTGAATTTAATTTTTTTCGTCGACATTTCATATTTTCCGGCATGTAAATTTCCAACGATAATGTGTTCTCTCTCCCAAAATTGAGTCTAAGCATTCATCACCGTATTTCTTCTCAACATAACCGAACACCAAAGAATTCAAATGGATGTATCAGAACTTCTCGAAAAGTTAGATTCAGCAGAGCTCTCTGCGTTCAAGTGTGTGGATCTTTTGAGGCGGCACCGCACTCATATAGGCATACAACACAACATGCCTTGGTACAAAGATTAACAAAATTTTCATATGATGAATTGGAGTTTTTCATTCCTCAGTTTGTTCAACTTTTGGTCTCTTTTGAGACAGACTCAATGGCATTAAATGATTTTCTATTAAGCTATTGTTCAAAATATCCTCATTTCAGTTTGATTGTATTCTGGCAACTCCAGGCCTTCCTTTTCGAACTTCGTAATGATCCGGAGTCATATTCATTTCAAACCGTAAGAAAATTCATCAACAGATTGCAGAGCATTATATTTAATATTGGAAATGAGAGTCAAGATGCCATTCAATTCAGAGAAAATTTACACCCTGCGTTAATTTTATGTGGCAGTATTGCATCCAGCTTTGCCTTACCAACAATTAATGAATATGCGTTGCCGCTTGTTAAATCTCAAGGTAGACAACAAAAGTCATTCGTTTTCAAGTTGGCCAACTTCCAAAAGTCATTAACTAGGAACCTTACCTTAAGAAACCAACGATTATCTATGGAGTCGGCGACGCTGGCGGTATCGGATGAGGACATACCCAAATCTTCACAAAGATCAATTCATGTGGAAGTTAACCCGGAATTTCTGCCACGGCTTGTTTCCAAGAAGCACAGTTTCAGTATGCTGCTGGATGATTCTGAAACTTATATTACTGATGATGATGAGATACGGGCCGTGGATATAACAAAGAGTGTACCTGGCAAGAGATCCACATTCTCTGAAATGGAAGAAGAAGTCAGCAGCATCAGTACAAGAATCAAATCGAAAAGGTCTTTTCCCAAGTCGCCTGCTACACCGAAGATGCTCTCTGTTGAGTTTTCGTCTGCAGCAGATTCGCCTAACTTGAATTCTCAATCCCTTCCAGACTTATCGAAAGTTCGTTCACGACCAGACCTAAATTCTACAGAATCAGAAACATGCTTGGGCTTAGTTACCAAACTTAATGACATGGGTATAAGGAGATCTGGTTCTCAAAAATCTTCCAAAAGAACTCCTTCTTATAACGAGTTACATAAAATACTACTTGTCAATTACGCGAAGAAGGAGACCAAGTTCATAATGTCCTTACAGAATATTTCTGTAAGGCTCTCCCAGGTTCCAAAAGAAGCCAGGCTTTCGGCCTTGCGAGCTGAGCTTTCCATAATAAATGAATGGCTTCCATCTTCCGAAATCGACATACCTCAACTATTACCCGTTACGAGTCATAAGAATAAAAGATTTCACAAAATATTGAAGCTAAGCATAAATGAAGCCTGTGTCTTGAATTCTGCAGAGAGAGTTCCTTACTTGTTACTTATCGAATATTTGAGTGACGAAATCGATTTTAATCCATTTACAGAATACAACCAAAAAATTATCAACAATAGGCTTCAAGACAGCAAGCCTAAGCAATCACCGAAAGCGGATGACTTCGTCGATTTGTCTGATTCAGTAACAGATGCTGCAAATACGATGGATATATCAGACACTGCAGATGAATCTGTTTCCACTCCAATTGAAGCCGATCTTGGAGATTTACCAATGGCACAAACAAGTCCAAGTAGTCGTCAATTAGTCTCGGAAAATACCAATGATTTGGTAGATATGCATCCTGAGGACCAAGAAAGTTCCAGTAATTTTAACGAGAGTCGATCAGCGAATCCAATAGATTCTGTTGTTCTTGCTGACCAAATGAGAATTGCGTCTGTAATGCTTCAACAATTGCAGAGTTCGGGTCAATCAAATTCCGAACAATTTATTGCTATAAGGAATAGAATAATCAACTCAATGATCTCTCTTCAAGACCAGTTTGACTATATTGACTACGAACAGTTAAAGAAACTCAAGACAGATCAACAGGATGCTGGACAACGAAAGCTCGAAAATGATTTCAAAATTGGTGAAGATTGGGATGAAAAGAAGAATAGAATCAGAAGATCGAGTGCATACGGTCATTTAGGTAATTGGGACCTTTGTTCAGTCATTGTTAAAAATGGAGATGACTTACCTCAGGAGGCATTTGCATGTCAATTGATAACGTTGATATCAAATATTTGGAAGAAACACGGGGTACGATTTTGGACCAAACGAATGAAAATCCTAATAACAAGCGCAAATGCCGGATTAGTGGAAACTATAACAAATGCGATGTCGATTCATTCAATTAAGAAATCGCTAACTGAAATTTCTATTAACGAGGGTATGAATTCTAAAGGAAGGATATTCACGCTAAAGGATTATTTTCAGAAACTTTATGGCAGTGAAAAATCACAGAAATACATTCAGGCCCAAGAGAATTTTGCAAGGAGTTTGGCCTCTTATTCCATTATTTGTTATGTTTTACAGATCAAGGATAGGCACAATGGTAATATAATGTTGGATCACGAAGGTCATATCATTCATATTGATTTTGGGTTTTTGCTTTCCAATTCACCAGGTAGCGTAGGCTTTGAAGCTGCCCCATTTAAGTTAACTACTGAATATATAGAATTGTTAGGTGGCACAGATTCAAAAGCATATGGAATATTTGTTGAAGTTTGTAAGGAATGTTTTAAAGCCTTGCGAAAAGAGAGCCAACAACTTGTCAGCATTGTCGAGTTAATGCAGAAGGACTCAAACCTCCCTTGCTTTAGGAATGGAGAGAATACGAGCATTTTACTTGAACAAAGGTTACAACCCAACATAAAGGAAGACGACCTCGATTCTTTTGTCGAAAATTCACTAGTCGGAAAGAGTATCGGAAGTATGTATACACGTTTATACGATCAGTTCCAAATGATCACTCAGGGTATCTACAGTTGAGCTTGTAAGATATGACTATCGAACATATGAAAGATCCAAATAGGGAAGCTTTGTTTTAAGTAAAAATACCATATATCGTATATAGTTCCAGGTAAGTAGAAAGAAACCCTCACTTGTGATATTCTGATTCTACAGCCGATTCCTCTTGTATCATCTAATATAAAAACATTATTTTCGAAGTCACCCGGAAACATAAGTGGCCTCCATTAAAATGCAGTCGTCAAAACGACATCCTTCTCCCTCGCTCGTGAGTGATCATACGTCTGGAACAATTATAATTCCTGATTATCAGAATATACAATCCGATCACGGCGAATACACTGAGTATAAAGGGCCCTCTTATTCATTTCTCTCCGTTGTCGTTTGTATCCGAACATACTTGAACATGCACGTAGTATATCCCTTTCCTTGATCAAAGTTTGTCCTTAGCATGTCTCTCGCGTGAATTGTTAACAAGGCAGGACGAGTTTCGACATTCGAGGGGGAACACACACCCAAATAAACTATAAATCAAATGAGCAAATCCACCGCTTTATATCACGAGACTCATTTTCCCACGCTAAGATTTAATATGTAATCGATGAGACTAAGAACCAAGTACCGTGCTTAAAAAAAGTTGGGCAGGTTGGTAGAATTTTTTTTCAGTTTCCAAAATGAAGAGAAAGAGTCTCTTAGTATGCTAGATGTTTATTTCATATCAAGATGGTCTGGCAATCTCGTGTGCAACATATAATAAAAATAAGAATTAGTTCAGGCAATAACGCTACTGGAGTAACGATATCATTGCCTTTTTTTGAGATACATATGTTTGTACTTTCCCAAAAAAGGACTATTCCTAGTCCCAATTGGATATTGTTGCCAAGAAAATAATATTTAGACTTATTTTTTAACGTAAGATGATGTTGTGTCATTGTAGTTTTTAGAAAAATAATTCAGAAAACTATAAAATTACGATATTATTTAAGGTTAAAAACATGCATAGAAACACTTTTTAACACTCATTTTGTGTCAATTAAAAATGGAAAACCAGACAGCTTATCACTTTCAATTCCCGAAGATATACCAAGCAACAGAGCATAACAACATTAAAGAGCTCACAAACTTTGAGGCGTTCCCAATAAGGTCAATAAATGCCACATCCACAGTTCCCGCTTTAGAAACAGACTTTATAAACAATGATTTTTCAGGAACAAAATGCCTTTCAAGCTTGGAAAACTATAGATCCCGGAATAGCTTCTTGATTGCACGAAGTATCTTATCTAGCCTATTCAAAGTTAACAGCTCCAGTTTAGAGACTGTGTCAAAGGCGTCGTCTATCGTATGTATTTTCAATTTTATTTATGTATTTTGCTGAGTACTAACCCTTTCTAGATCTGGAAATCTGCAGGCGAAACTTTCAAGACCTATTACGAATACCTTTCGATTTTGGATTCGGTCTGGTACAGTAAAAGAACGTCAATACCGACCCAAAGCTCACTGAGAGAGGCTCAAGAAAGGAATAAATCGCTCCAACTTGTTACTGCAAAATCGCTCACAACCAAGTTCAGAATCTACAAGAATGTGCAGCCAAATAAGAGAAAGCGCATTGAGAATAACTTCAAGAAAGGCTTCAAAATTAGTGAAAGCAAACTAAATTTTGATAGCAGGATATTGACTCATGATCTCTTTAAATAGTGCTAGTAAATATTTCCCAGATGTATAATATCTCGGGTTTTTTTCAGCAAAAAGAAAGAGCAAGCTCTTTCAATGTCCTCTGGGTACCTTTTTTTATATTGTACGTAGTTTAACAAATGCCAGTCATGCAAGAAAAAAATGATACGATTGATTATTTCCGCCTTGTCTAAATAGGATAACTTGTAGTTCAATGGAACAACATGTACAGAAGTCGTGTAAAACACTCAAAGTAGAGTAGAGATATCATGAAAAATGTGTAGAAACATACTGAGACTTGGCAACACAGAAACATTTGTTGTAGAGTCTGGATTTCTCTTGGTAAAACACTTAATGTGACATATTTTTTTTTGTGTGAGGGTTAAATACGTTTCTGAAACAAAAAACTTATCATAAATACTACGAGAAACCAGAAACCAAACTCAAAAACAACTTTAGTAAAAGTATCAGAACATGAACTCGGAATCAAAAAATAACCGCTCACTCTTGGATAGCATTGATAATCTAGAGAAGGTGACTTCAAAGTACTCCACTGAGGAAAAAGAGAGTCGTTTCAATGCATTTAAAAGTCAACCACAAGTCTCACAGGCAGCTCCAGAAGCCTTATTTGACAATTCATTATCAAAGTTGATCAACGTATGTATAGAAATATATTGGTAGTAGTTCAAAAGAAGTTACTAACTCATTTAGATCTCTTCGGCAGTTGAACCAGGGAACCACTTCGAATGCCTTATTAAGAATCTTTATGAAACTATGTTGAAATCCCAAAAGGAGGAAAATGAACAACAGTTAACTCTACCTATTGGAGACCCAGCCGAATATTGTCTAACCAAAATTGATATATCAGTGAGTAATTCACTCGACAATGCCGTTAGTTCTGATGAGGATATGGCCAGCGAAGACAACCTTAAACCGAAGCAAACTCGTCGAAGACTAAGTAACTCGGTGAAGGATTTTCTCGAGAGTATCTTCCTTATAAGGCCCTCTCCAAACAGGCGGGAAAGAGAGTTAATTGCAAAGAAATGTGGTGTTACCGCACTACAGATAAGGGTTTGGGTACGTATAAATTAAACCTACTAAATATAGAGCAGCAGGATTTACTAACAAAAGAATAGTTCACGAACAAGAGAATGAGGAAGAAGCAGCTGATGGGGACAAGCCCCGAAAGCTCGAACAGTCCATAAATTCTTATTTTAATCCATCACTAATACACAAACTAGATTCCTTTTTTCTGAGGTTCATTCTTGTAACAATTCTTAATTACATCTCTCAAATAAAAGCTCTCTCTACTCATTTCCAGCAACCAAGCGACTGAATCTGAATTT